ACCACCCCCCCCGCCCCCCCACAGGCCCTGCTCTGTGTGTGACGGGGTAGAGCCATAACCTCCCCACCGGCCCTGCCCTGAGTGTGAGAGTGGCGGCTCCTCAATCCCCTGATCGGCCCTACTCTGTACATGACAGGGTATGGAGCCCTAACCCCCTGATGGGCCCTGCTCTGTGAGTGACAGGGGGCATCTACCCTGAGCGTGACTGGGGGTGGCATCGCAACCTACCAATCCACCCTTCTCTGTGCATGACAGGGGCTTGCGCTCCAACTCCCCAATCAGCCTTGCTCTGAGCCCCACCAGAGGCTGCACCTAGGGATTGGGCCTGCCCTCTGCCACCCGGGAGCAGGCCTAAGCCAGCAGGTTGTTATCTCCCGAGGGGTCCCAGACTGCAAGAGGGACCAGGCCGGGCTGATGGGCCCTCCTCTCCCTCCAGTGCACAATTTTTTTGCACCAGGCCTCTAATTATATATATAAAAGTCTAAGTGAGTGGCTGACTGGCCAACCAGCAGTATGTATGACTCACACTGACCACCAGGGGGCAGACACTCAACACAGGAGCTGTCGAGCAACAACTTTGCAGAGTGCCCTCTCACACTCCGGGACCCTTGGGGTGTGGACAGACTGGCACCACTCCAGGTGCAGGTGGCCAGGGAGGGACCACGGGAAGTTGGCTCTAGGTCATGTCTGGCCCATCTCGTCCAATCCCACCCCACCGGCCACCTTCTAATTAATTTTCTTTCAATGTGCATGAATCCATGCACCAGGCCTCTAATATATATATATATATATGGTTGAAAAATAATGTTAATTAGAAAGTCTACCAGGAAAGTCTTTCTTCATCTCTCCTTTTCTAGTTTTTCTCCCACAGACCACACATTTCTTCCAGAAATTAGTCAACATAAGACCTAAATTTGCTGCTAGACCTATTTACCCTCTATTAGACCAAGTAGAGGAGTAGATTCCAGAACTAACAGCAAGCTCTAGACGCCCAGATTTCTTCTTTATTTATAATTTAAACCCATTGACACTAACAAGAAGTCCTGGCTGGTTTAATTAAACTTTTATGAGCCATAATGTAGGAGAAACCAACATTCAGGTATTCAAGGTATTATACTAAAATCCCATACATGACTTTTCTTAGTTACTAATTTGAAAAAAATATATGGCCACTATAGATTAGCAATATAGAATAAATATTATGTATGATCAATTCTGTCTTGGTCAGCTGGGACTGCTAGAGCAAAATACCACAAACTGAGACAGACATTTACTTCTCACAATTTTGGATGCTGGAAGTCCATGACCAAGTTATTAATGAGAAGCTTCTTCCTGGCTTGTAGTCAGCCATCTTCTTGCTATATGCTCACATGGCCTTTTCATAGTGCATGTGCTTGGAGAAAGAAAGAACTCACTCTTCCTCTTTTTAAAGTACATTAATCACATCATGAGGGCCCTATCATTTAAAAAAAACCAACTTTCTATTTTTATTTTTTTATTTTTTTTCTTTATTGATTAAGGTATTACATATGTGTCCTTATCGCCCCATTGTCCCTCACCCCCCTGTTGTCTGTGTCCATTGGTTAGGCTTATATGCATGCATACAAGTCCTTTGGTTGATCTCTCCCCTTACCCCCACCCTCCCCTACCAATCATTTTGACCTCATCTAAACCTAATTATTTCCCAAAGGCCCCACCTCCAAATACCACCATGTTAGAGGTTTGGACTTCAACATATGAATTTTGAGGGATACAAACATTCAGTCCACCAGAAAGTTTAATAAAGAAATGAAACTTTATGTAATATTTCATACTAATGTCATACGGTAACCTGAGAACTGCCAACCCCAAGGTAATAACAGAGTTAATTTCTGTAAGTCATGGAGATTCATTGCATACTTGATTTGAATATTTCTTGGCACTTTGTATAATTTTTTTTACTGAAGTTTTATGACAATTTCTATGTTGAAATTTTATATTTGCTAAAATCCTACTTCATAATAGTAGGAATAATTTTTACCCTTACTCAAACTCATCTTGAAAATAAATAAGAAAACATATTTCCCTAGATACCACTTTGTTCCCATTTAAAGCAAAACTTGAAAGTAATGTCCACATCTATTGTCTTCCAGTTTGCTCCTACCACTCCATCAGTGGCAGCGGGGGATGGGGTCAGCTGGCGAGCAGGCAGCAGTAGGGGGCGGGGCTGGCCAGCAAGCAGGTGGTGTTGAGGGGTGGGGCCAGCAAGTGAGCAGGCCTGCACTGCCCCTGATCACCCCACTGGTAACTTCCCACAGAGGAATCCTGAGGATAACCAGAAGAATGAATGGCAACCTCTCTTTGCTCTTGCACAGTCCTCTGAGTCCTGCTGTGTTCCCCTTTAACTGACCAAACCAAAAGCCAGAGCAAAAGGAAACTTTGATGTGGTTCACATTAGTCAGTTCCAGGGGCACAAGGCAGGGTGGAGAAGGATGGAACATGGACCTCGAGGGCCTGTGTTCATGATTCCAGTGTTCTTTTTTTGTAATATCAGAAGCAGTGTAGCTTACTTTATAAAAAATAAAACACAAATCATTTTCTGTGTATATATGAGACTTTCAGTGAAACAGACTCCCTGGAAAATACCAACATAATCTGTTTGGGGGTTAGCATGTCAAACTACTGAACTAATTGTGTTGTTTAACTAAATCTACTTTTATATGGAACAGTGTTTTTTTCAATAATTTATGCCATTTTTATTATTTAGGTAACCTTTCATATACCTTAAAATGAATTATTGAATCTTATTATCCTATCTAATAAAGAGGGAATATGCTAATTGACACTCATGCCATCACAAAGATGACAGTGCTCACAGCCAATAAGGAGGGAATATGCTAATTGACTGCCAAGCCTTCCAAGATGGTGGCGCCCACAGCCACAAGATGGCCAGCAGGGGAGGGTAGTTAGGGGTGACCAGGCTGTCAGGGGAGGGCAGTTGGGGGGAACCAGGGTGGCAGAGGAGGGCAGTTGAGTGGATAAAAAAGCTGTGGGCAGTTGGGGGTGATCAGGCCAGCAGGGGAGAAGTTAGGCATCAATCAGGCTGGCAGGGACAGCTGACTGGCTGGTAGGTATGATGCACACTGGGAGCAGACACTCAACACAGCAACTTTGCAGAGTGCCCTCTCACACTCCGGGACCCCTCAGGGAATATCAGAGAGCCAGTTTCAACTCAATCCCTGCAGGCCAGGCTGAAAGACCCCACCTGCCAGAGGGACCCTGCTCACTCCACATACACCCCAGGTGCACCTGACCAGGGAGGGACTGCAGGAGGTTGGCTCCAGGGTGTGTCCAGCCCATCTCGCCCAGTCCCGCCCCACCGGCCACCTTCTAATTAATTTCCTTTCAATGTGCACAAATCCGTGCACCAAGTCACTAGTATAAATATAATATTGTATACTATTTATTACTGTTATTTCTTCAGGGGAAGAAATAAACCACAAACTTATTTCTTATGCCTGATGAATACATTAATGAATTCTAAAGGAAATGCTATAGTTTTTTTGAGGCAAACTTCATTGTCTTTATTTTTTAATTTATTTTTATTGTTGGGAGTATTACAGATGTACCCTATTTTCACCCCTTTTCCCCCCATCCAACTAGCTCCCACCCACACCAGCCTTCATTTCACTATTGTTTGTGCCCATGGGCTACTCATATATGCATATAAGTTCTTTGGTTAATCTTTTTCCACCCTCTTCCCCCCTTCCCTCTGAGATCTGTCAGCCTGATCCATGCTTCTTTGTCTCTGGACCTATTTTGCTTATCAGTTTATTTGTTCATTAGAGTCCACATATAAGTGATATCATATGATACTTGTCTTTCTCCACCTGGCTTATTATGCTTAGCATAATAATCTCCAGGTCCATCCATGCTGTCTCAAAAGGTAAGAGATCCTTTTTTTACAGCTACATAGTATTGCATTCTGTAAATGTCCCACAGCTTTTTTATCCACTCATCTACTGATGAACACTTTGGCTGTTTCCAGATCTTAGCTATTGAAAATAATGCTGCTATGAACATAGGGGTATATATATATTCTTTATGATTGGTGGAACTACTATTTTAAAAACAACAAACAAATAAAGAAACCAAGTGTTGAACAGTGGATTTTTTTTAACTATTTAAAAGGAGCACATTTGGGGTTAGAAGAACAAATATAGTAGACTTAGTAAGATTTCAGTTTTAATCCTGTCTTACCAGGAAGATTCCTTGACAAATAAGTTCAACTCTATGAGTCTGAGCTTCCTCATCTATAAAGTAAGAGGTGAGCAAAAATACCATCTTAGGTCTCTTCCAACTCTAAAATTTGACTACTTAATTGAAAGGTATTGATTAGTGCCAAAAGAACAAAGTTGGATTTCAAAGGAAGCATGTCAACAGCATTTATTAATTGAGGAAAAATAAAGATAAAGGCAATGTTAGCTTTTATTTCTAGGTTAAGAATTCACTAGTTCAAGGCTTGCATGCTGTTTAACAACTTGTCCCCTCTGCTTCTTCCTTCTCCTCACCCTGTATTATTCTAAAAGAATATCCAATGGGGGGAATCAATCATTAGAGAAATTTTAATTTGCATAGAATTGTTTCAGCGATGAGAAACAATGACTGTGATTGTGTTTTCTCCTTAGAACCAACTGTATTTATTCCCCAGTCGGAATACTCCATTGAGGAAGATGTTGGTGAACTATTCATTCCCATCAGAAGAAGTGGAGATGTGAGCCAGGAGTTGATAGTGATCTGTTATACACAGCAAGGTAGTTGGAAATACACCACCCCCCAAAGATAAAAATAAGCATCTTTAACATGTTGGCATGTTCACCATGGTCCTCTAAGAGGATCTGGAAGGACTCTGCTGCCTCTTACACAAAAATATTTTTTTCACTTGGTTTGCTTACTCTACTGTTCAATGCTTTGTGGGTTATAAGAAATTGAAGGTCCCTCATTCTCCCCATCAAGGCTGCTGAAGTAGACGGTAGTAATTATTAAAAGAGAAAACAAAACAAAAAGAGGCAAAGAAATCACTAGTATGAAAGAAAATTAATTTCATACTAGTTTGAAACTCATTGCAATCAAATTTCAGAATATTTCTTTTTGCTCATGGGCTGAAGTGTCACCAGCCCATTCATTTGCTTTCTGGTGCCAATTTCATCAGTTTCCCATGTTTTCTGTGATTGGTGTTTACCCTGTACCACATATTAACATGAGAGGCCACAAGAGGCATATTTTATAATTATAATTTCCATAGGGTTAAAAAGCAGTTATCAAGAAATCTTTCCTCACCATTGTCCTCTAAGAGGATCTGGAAGGACTCTGCTCCCTCTTACACAAAAATATTTTTTTCACTTGGTTTGCTTACTCTACTGTTCAATGCTTTGTGGGTTATAAGAAATTGAAGGTCCCTCATTCTCCCCATCAAGGCTGCTGAAGTAGACGGTAGTAATTATTAAAAGAGAAAACAAAACAAAAAGAGGCAAAGAAATCACTAGTATGAAAGAAAATTAATTTCATACTAGTTTGAAACTCATTGCAATCAAATTTCAGAATATTTCTTTTTGCTCATGGATGAGCATCCTCTGAAAGGTGATTTTATATAATTAAAATTAATACATAATATTCATTAATATAACTTAATATTTATTTAATATTCTGGAAAATAAGTAGACTTTCTAAGGATGCAAAAGAAAAAGTAATATATGCTGTTGATATCTGAGCTGATCTTTAAAATTTCTATTAATGTATATGCATTGACAGGTAGTAGAGAATAGTGATTAAAATTATTGCCTTCAGGATCAGCCTTCAGCTCTGGGTTATATAGTTTAACCTATAAGCCTAGATTACCAAATGCATAAAACCCAATAGAGTAGAATGGTTGAGAGGATCAATGAGGCAATGCCCGTAAAACATTTGGTACTTTATCTGCACACAGTACGCAATAGGAGCTATTATTTTGTAATATTGTGTTGTTCTAATAGACCACTGGCAGAAAATAGAGAAAACATTTGAAACTTAATATTTGTCATATGTTTGATACCATTGTGAAGTTAATGTGTGATACTAGATCAGTATAGAAGTGCTATTGCACTTTCTAGGGGTGTTAATAGATATTAATTGACCATTGAAATGCTGCGTGTGAAAATTATTTTTTGAAATATCCTTGTGATATGTTCTACATAAAACATCTTTTGTATTTTCTCTGCCTCAAGGAACAGCAAGCGGAACTGTGCCAACATCAGTGCTGTCCTATTCTGATTACATATCCAGGCCTGAGGACCATACTAGTGTCATCCGCTTTGACAAACATGAGCATGAGAAAATATGTCGGATTGTTGTGATTGATGACTCCTTGTATGAAGAGGAAGAGACATTCCATGTCCTTCTGAGCATGCCTATGGGTGGTAGAATTGGATCAGAATTCCCAGGGGCTTGGGTTACAATCATCCCTGACAAAAATGATGGTAAGTACTAATACACCTGAAAAGTATTCTTCTTTCCAGGCAGATGAACATTAAGCACAGATTTCTAGACAAAAAAAAAAAAAAAAAAATGACAGTGTAAAAAATACGACATGCACATTAATTTTACGCTTGATTTTATGGTATGATTAAGTTTCAAGTTGGCTGTATCATACAATTTGTCTTCGTTAATTTAATATTTTTATTACATTTATTGGGCTGACACTGGTTCACATAAATATATATTTCAGGTGTGGGTTTCTGTTACAAGATCTATATATTGCACTGTGTGCCCATCACCCGAAGTCAAATCTCCTGTCTCTTCCAGGGGGTTCTTGTCCTATGAAATATGAAGAATAAAATTCGTGGACTATAAGATTTTAAATAAAAATCTGGAAATTTATTAAAAGCATATACAAACTCCCCCTAGGAAGAGGTCCCCAAGGGGGACCCCCTGGGGAGGGGACCTTAAATTGGAAAAACCTTTTCTCTCTCTCTCCCTCAAATGGGAAAAAATATAACCGATTCTAAGGTTCTTTGTCTCCGGATTTATAAAGGCTCCTAGCTCTTTGTCTGAACATGACCCTTTCTAATTGGACCCTTCCTTAATTTATGACCCCTGTGCTTTCCTAATTGATCATTCTTCTGCAGAATATCAGTTTCAAAGGTCAAAGCCTAGCTGCCCCACTTCCTCTCCCCATTATCATTCAACATTCCTCTACCCTCTGTGAAATATGCCTTTCTCCCCCCTTATCTTATAACATTTCTCTATCCTCTGTGAATGTGGATTGAGGTATCAAAGTGTTTTGTTTACTTCTTGGATTTGAGGATCTAGTTCTCTCCATTCCCTTCTCCTTTCTTCCTTCTCTGCAATGCCTATAATTCTAATATTGCTTTTTCTGATAGAGTCAGCTAATTCTCGTAAAGCTCTTTCATTTTTCTTTATTCTCAGATCTCTCTATTCTTCCCTCTGTGTTATTTCTTTTTCCCCCCTCTGTGTCATTTCTTGATTCCTATCTTTGATATTACTAATTCTTTCCTCCAGCTGGTTGGCTGTTTTCTATGCTTAGTAGTTCACTCTTAATCTCCATCATGGCATGCTTCATTTCCAGGATTTCTGATTGGATCTTTTTTAGTTTTAATCTCTTTGGTAAAGTACTCCTTTTGTTCATTGATTTGTTTTCTGAGTGCATTGAATTGCCTTTATTTTCTTGCATCTCACTGACTATATTCAGAACTGTAATCTTGAAATCTCTGTCATTTATATCACATATTTCCATGTATTCCAGCTTGCTTTCTGGGGGGTTTAATTTTCTTTCTGATCATCCTCATTACCATGGTTATTTATGGTACTAAGGGCCCACTGCATGAATTCGTGCACCTTGAAAGGAACTGTGGGCCGAGAAGCTATGGTGGGCACAGGGGTGGGTCTCGGCCCCTCCTGTGTACCCTCCCCAGCCCCTCCTGCCACGGCCCCCAATCCCTTATCTGCCGGCAGCCCTGCTCCTGCTGTTGCCGTTCCTATACACTGATGGAGCTGGCTCCACTCACATCCATTGATGGTACAGAGCTATTGGGGCTGATTTCAGCAGCAGGTGTGAGCAGGACCGGCACTGTGAGTGGATGCGAGTGGCTGCTGCTGCCCTGATCGCCTCTCAGGAGCAGGGGGAGGTAGAGAAGCCCTCAGGGGCAATTAGGGCTGGCAGCTGCCGCTTGCACCTTCTGATGGCGCCACGTAATTGGGAGTGGCGCTGGCTGCAGGTGCGAGTGGGGCTGGCACTGGCAGCAGGTGTGGGTGCCAGGTGGGACCATGGCACGCGGGAGCAAAGAATTTTCAGTAACCACCAGAGACTCACCCTGATGACAGTGACCGGTACCCCGCCTTGGTCTGGCACCCCCACTAACCTGCTGCACCATCCTGCTGCAGCCATGCCAGCCATGATCTGTGCATGCTGTGTGAGCAGGACCGGCACTGTGAGTGGATGCGAGTGGCTGCTGCTGCCCTGATCGCCTCTCAGGAGCAGGGGGAGGTAGAGAAGCCCTCAGGGGCAATTAGGGCTGGCAGCTGCCGCTTGCACCTTCTGATGGCGCCACGTAATTGGGAGGCAGGCAGAGATGGTTAGGGGCAATCAGGCAGGCAGAGGTGGTTAGGCACCGGTAGTCCTGGATTGCGAGAGGGATGTCCGACTGCTGGTTTAGGCCCGACCCCACAGGGCCTAAACCAACAGTCAGACATCCCTTCTCACAATCCGGGACCACTGGCTCCTAACCGCTTACCTGCCTGCCTGATCGCCCCTAACCTATTAGCCTGCTCACCTCCAACTGCCCCCCCATTGGCCTTCTCACCCCAACTGCCTCCCCTTGCTGGACTGATTGCCCCCAACTGTCCCCCCCGCCAACCTGATCACCTCCAACTGCACCCCCTGCCAGCCTGCTTACCCCTTACTGCCCCCACTACCAGCCTGCTCACCCCCAACTGCCCCCACTGCTGGCCTGCTTGCCCCAAACTGCCCCTCTCTCTGGCCTGATCACACCCAACTACCCCTCACTGCTGGCCTGCTTGCCCCCTACTGCCCCCCCTGCCGGCCTGTTTGCCTCCAAATGGACCACCTGCTAGGCTGCTTACCCCCTGCAGAACCCCCTGCCAGCCTGCTTGGCCCCAACTGTCACCCCCCTGCTGGCCTGCTCACCCCCAACTGCCCACCCTGCCAGCCTGATCACACGAACTTCCCTCACCTCCTGGCCTGATCACCCCTAACTGCCTCTGCCTCGGCCCTGCCACTATGGCTTTGTCTGGGCGGCGGCCATGGAGCTGGCTGGGGCGACCAAGGAAATCAAGCCTCCCACCCCCTCCACTGTCTCCATGTCTCCAGCCAGTGCTGCCATCTTTTCTGTGTCAATTTGCATATTCCCTCCTTATTGGCTGTGGGCGCATCCATCTTTATCGTGAAGTGATGGCTAATTTCCAAATTACTCTTTTATTAGATAGGACTAGAGGCCCGGTGCACAAAAATTTGTGCACTTGGCGGGGAGGGGGGTCCCTCAGCCCAGCCTGTGCCCTCTCGTAGTCTGGAACCCCTCGGGAGA